TAAGCTATAAACATATAAAAAGGCTGATCCAAATATAGTAATTAATCTGCTAGGTACAGCTTTTGCTGTAATTTACAACGTTTTATGAATCTTTATTAGGCTATTGTGATGTGCAATAGAAAGGAAGTTTATATTAGTATGCAAAGGGTTGAGACTAACAGTGTTTGAAGTACATGTTGGATTGCCAGTGTTCATTTTTTTTTAAATATACCAAAAGATTCTAGTCAAGTACTGTCAGCTCCCAGGTAAGATTTGTCACATGAGCTATACTCAAATTATGGATTAGCTGATACAAGAACCTTTTGTGTAAAAATTTTAAAAAATTTTGCCCATTGAAGAACAATCTTAAATTTTTATTTTTTTAGTTTTAAAAAGTTTGATTAAGTACTGCAGTAGAAGCCACTTATTGTAAGACTTGCCAAAACTGATGATGATAACCAATTAATAACATTAAGCAGCAAATGTAAATAAGATGTAATTAGTGGAAATTTTATTTTATTAGCTTTAAGAGTTATTAAAATAAGTATTTAATAATGATAATGATATAGAAATATCATCATCAGCCACATGTTGAGGTTGATAGACATTTTAAAGTTGTTTTGCACTATTTATCTGAAGATGATGATTATAACTGCAACTCTGATTATAAGAAGTGAATTTTNTGCAATTCTTTCGGATAATCGACGCTCTACTGTATATAAAAAATGTTTACATATTGTATTGCAGGAAATTACCGTATTTTGTATTCCTTTTTATATTATTTTTGTTTTTCGTATTTATTTTATTAATTTCTTTATGCTTATTTACGTAATTTAATTTCAACATATGTTCTAATATAATTTAAATTTGAACGTGTTCGATAATGGCTTGGATTCGAACGTCTTTAACCTGATGATGGCCCATGAAATGGGTTGAAAACGTTTGTTTAGCTGAATAAATGAGCGTTCTCAGTATTAAGGTGTGTTGACTGTATATTGATAATATAACAATATATTGCAATCGTAAACTTTTTATGCATGAAATACAGCTAAAAGGATAAAAAAAGAAGGCTTTGTTTTGGGGTTGGGAACAGATTAATCCATTTTATATTGTTTCTTATGGGAAAATTTGTTTCAGTTTGTGAACAACTTTTAAGAATGAATTACATTCAAAACCCAAGGTTTGACTGCATTTTTAAATTTAGCTTTAAAATCATTAAAAGATCTATATTAGAACTGTTTATTGGAATACTTCCTAATATAAACTTGTTTTGTTAAAGTAACTTTTTTTTCATAGACATTTCACCATTACAGGATACGTGTAGACTTCCTTCAATATTGTAATTGCTTCATTGCTCAGAGAGGAAAGATGAGATGAGTAAGAGTATCTCCTACTCTCTGAGACACAATACACTTAGTTGGATCAATTTTATGTCATTTAATTCTGGGATTGTGAAGGGAGGAATATGAAATTGAACACAATATCTGAAAGCGTGGGTTTCAGAAATTATAAGTATGTTTTTAAAAGAATATCAAAATACCTATTATCTTCATCAGAAAGGTAACAATATATCAATAAAATTTGAAATGAATTTAAAAGTATAAATGAAATATTTCATCATTAAAACGAATAAGAATGTTTATCATTTAATATATCATAGTTTTATGTTGGACTCCAAAGATGCATAAATGTGAACCACAAACAATACTCTATATTTGCTGTAGAAAAAATTACAATAAAACAGAGTAGTGTCTCATTTACATACTTCTTTCTAACTTAGATAGCATTGCACATACCATCCCAAAATATTGATTTGATTTCTATATATCAATTAATTTTTGTCCATTCAATTTGCTGAGTTTACATGTAGTATCATCTAGTGGCAAAAGAATTTTAAAAATAATATTCATTTAATTATTGCAACAATAATGTAGTGGGAAGTAGACAGACTATATTATTACTGACACAGGTAGCAGTAATAACATTCAGGACATGTGTAACACTGTCCTGAATGCACTCACATGCATTCAGGACAGTGTTACACTGTGAAAACTACATAAGTATTTAATTTTCCACAAATAACAATGCTGGTTTTTTCATTTCTGAACAATACTTTCTTAATTCTAAAAAGTGCCCACCAGTGGCTGAGTGGATGGAACTACTTAAATTTACAGTAAAACTGTAATTGCATATTATATTAAAAATTATAATTTATATATATA